CGGACGGACGACTAAGGGGAGTGGTGTGGGCAAGAAAGGGAGTTAGGTGGCATGTTCGTGGTGGACTGCTGGTATGATGGCAATCTTCTACTTCTTTACTATAATAAGTTATTTAGGTGTTCATACCACAGTTGTTTAGTGTACTTTCCCAAATGTTCTATTTCACAAAAATGCAAAAAAACAACAAAAAATATCCAAACTAAACAGGCATATAATAACCTCCAACCCCAAAGGAGCCTGAGTAGCACAATGGGCTCAGCACTGATCTTTTCAAACTCCCGTGGCCGACTGTTTGAAAAGGAATTTATGGACTAGTACAAGACATATGGGCTTTTAATACCGGACTTATGGACTTGATTTGAGCTGGGCTCTTAATATTCAATTAGTCTTTGACATTAAACTCTCTTACCCATGAGTGTCTAAATTTATTTCTCTCGTCTCCCCTATCCCAGCTTACATGACCACAGCCTCAAGCACATCGAGCAGCTCTGTCCTGGAGGGTCACTGTGATGGGAATCGGTACCGACTGGATAAATGGTGTTGTATTTTCCCTATAGCATGTATCTAGAGCCGCCTCCACTTCTCCAAAGCCAACAGCCTCTGCCGTTTCTCACACAATGGCTCCATGGCTCCAGCCTGCAGTGGCTTCGTGCTTGAGGCAGTGCCCAAATGGAAGTATGTTCCAGGGTTTGAATAAACTGTAGCAGGGCTTTCATCAACTTCTTTATTTTTATATGCTCTACGACTTGGTTGCTCAGACACTGAGTGATAGTTGGGCATTGTATCCGCTTGGCCAAGCCAGGACCTCCTCCACGCAGTGATGTAACATAGTGTGATTAAATGCACCATGGGCTCTGCTGTGAGCAGCCAAACAGTGGTGGGAAGACAGGGTGGAGTGCACCCCTTACTCAGGTCACAGCCCTGGTGATGAACTGTTGGGCTGTAGCCTACTTCATGCATAAAAGTTGACCCCGTGGAGCATTCCCTTCTTACTCATCTGGATCCTACATCTATCTGGCTCATTTACTCACCATACTGCCTGAAAACCATGGGATAAAAAAACACGTTTCCCCACCAGCCAATAAAGGAACAGGTGGGCCACCAAGTACCCTTCTTCACCCTCCTTTTTATTACCTTCTAGGCCAGCTTATGCAGTTAAGTTATACCTACAAAAGAATTCAAATTTCTTAATTAAAAGACAATGTTTGTGGGTTATAAATAAAAGTATTTTGGGAATGAGATCTATGTATCTTTTTCATATTTGTAAATGAGGTAAACATTTCCGCCGAATGCACCCAAACAACTTGTTACATCACGCAACCAGAGCACAGACGCACAGGACAGTCCAACAGAAAAGCCCTGGAGTCCTGCGATCCCCACAGGCGTTTCCAAAAGTACTAGTTACCATTACCGAAGTGCAAAGCCGTTTGAGGGAAAACTCTTTATTTCACGAAGGGAGAAACAATACTAATGGAAGGTACATTTTCAATTCTTGGCCTAAGTCTTAGTTCTTTCCAGTGGAGCCAAAGCCCCCTGAGCCCCTTTCAGTGTCATCCAAAGCCTGAGAAACACAAGAGGGGAAGCCGCAGTTAACTTTAAGACATTTAGTCATGCTCTATCATCTTTTCAAAAGGAACCCTGGGAGAAGAACCATTAAAAAAGTTTAGAGTACTGAAAAGTGTACTTATTTTTGAGAGCTAAGGAAATACTGTAATTTCAAAGAACAAATTATTTATTAGGCAAAGTAATGCTAGGTATGCCTACATAAAAACATTTCAAGAATACTAAAACTGAAGATTTAAGTTTTACTCAAACTAGGAGTAGGCACATATATGTAACATAGCTAGTTATAAATAAGCCCTGGTGGCACAGTGGTTAGGTGCTGAGCTGCGATCCACAAGGTTGGCAGTTTGAAACCACCAGCAGCTCTGTGGGAGAAAGGCTGGGCTTTCTGCTCCCGGAAACAGTTGAGTCTTAGAAACCCATGGGGGTCACGACGAATCAGTCTTGATTCAATGGCAGTAAATTACAAAGTGCCTATCAAATCCTCAAAGTTGTATTTCCCACTCTTTATTTATTTACCACCCTTCACCCCCTGTCCCAGCTTGTACGGCACTTACTTGAACTTCCTCTATTTCTGGATAAAAAATCCGCTCACAAATGAGCTGTGCAATTCGATCGCCCTTTTTGACTTTAAGAGAGAGAGAAAAAAGTTTATCAGTGGTATTTTATTGCTGCATCTACATTCTGTACTACTGAATGAGAATTAGGTGTAGACAACAGGAAATTCACGACATCTCAAGAGCACCTAGAGCATACCTTCAAATGTTTCTTTGCCAAAATTAAAGAGAACAACAGCAACATTTCCTCTGTAATCTTCATCTATGACACCAGCTGGAGAAAAAGAAAATGCAGTTAGCTGAAGCTCTGCGACCAGAACACAGTGCTCATCAGCGCCGAGACTGATCCCAATGCAGTGACTCGCAGGGCAGACTAGCACTGCCTAGACGTTGCCAGAGCAGTTCTCCTTGGCACAGTTTTCTCTTGCCCTGTGGCTCGGGACTGAACCACTAACCTTTGCCTAAGCAGTGGAAGTCTTCATCACTGCACCGCCGAGGCTTCTCATGGTTTAAAAATACCTCGAGATCATTTTACCCAGCTTTTTCTTTTTTTATGTGAAACATTAGCTGTGCTGCTATTTGCAAGAATGAAATTTTCATTCTTACAATAAACAGCGTTTTTTTGCTTTGTTACCATGTAAAGTTTAAAAACTAAGACATCATGTTATTAAAACTCAAGTAAAAATATAAACATGGTCCCAATTTTCTAACCTGTTGCTTCTACTATACGGTGCCAGGTCCAAGCTGAGTGTAGGTAAGACCATCCCCAACTGGTCATCTGAGGTATTCTCTGTAAGCCCACCATCTACCTGCTGTGCTCGGCCAGACACTAGAAACAATCGAGGGCTTGGGGTTTAGAGGCTTTTTCTGGTAGCAAAGCTCTGGCTTTAGCTTATCACTAGTCTCCAGACTGAAATATGGTTAAGTCATAAATTAAAATGTCCCAAAGCCTGAAGATCTGGAACAGAGTAAGTCAACAATGACATGGCGAAGCAGTATTCTTGCAAACAGCAGACACTGCTAATGTTTTTACATTAAAAAAAAAAGAGCAAACCCTTTCGGTTCATACTGCTCCTTTCAATTTGAACCACCATCGTTTCTTAGAGAGCGACCCTGCAGAGGACATTAGCATGTGGGACTCTGTCTGGTCAATGCCTGTTGGAGATTATGAACCCAGGGCAGGAAATCTGGCAGGAGGAAGACTTGAGCCACGGTGCTGCCACGGTCCAGAGAACTATGTCTATCAGATTGGCTAATATTATCTTTGGGCCAAGAATTTGCCATGTTTCCAAAAATACAAGTCACAGATAATGTAGATTAGTGTTTCCCCAAATAAGCAATACTGCTTCCTAGGGGATACTAGAATGATCCAAGGGACACTAAACAGCAGACAGTTTATCCTTGATTATGGGTCTGTATAAGTGTTAACTGCTTGAGGGATGTAGAATAATTTCTTTTTTCTGACAAGGGGGTGCAGGGAGTAGGTCAAATAAATTTGGAGATATATACCAGGCCTTCTCAACATCCCCGTTAATGATATAAATTAATATTCCATCCAATGACCTAATGAAGCATACCTTACCCGCTATTCTGTGGGAGAAAGATGGGTCATTTCACTCCGGTAGTTACAGCCTCAGAAACTCACAGGGGAAGTTACAGGGTTGCTATGAGTCGGAACCAACTTTATGACAGTGGGTTTGATTCTTTTATTTTTTTAATTTTAAAAAAGGTAATTCCAAGAAGCCCTGATAGTGTCATGGGTTACGCATTGGGCTACTAACCGCAAGGTAAGCAGTCCCAAACCACCAGCTGCTTCACAGGGAAACGATGGGGCTTTCTACTCTTGCAAAGATTTACAATCTCAGAAGCCCACAGGGGCCGTTCTCCACCCTCCCTTGGGCTCCTATTGAGTGGGCTCAGTTCTCCGGCAGTGAGCTAGGGGTTGGCTATTGAGTCAATGACAACTGTCAAGTGCAACTAACTGCTCCAGGAGCTTCCAGGGCAGATCTCCAGGCTTCTCTTCCAGGGTGCCTAACTGGGTTCAAACTGCCAGTCTTTGAATAGGAGCCGGGTGCTTAACCATCTGTGCCCCTCTGGAACGCCTAGGCACGTTCTTAAGGGAAAGTACTCAGAAACATCACCACTTTAGATTTTTCCCGCCGCGTTAGAGGAGCAGTCTAACGAAGCCCTGTGCTTTGTGACTGAGTCGAGGTAGTTCAGCCTGAAAAGGGAACGAAGCGTCTATTCTCTTCTGGTTGAGAGCAACAGATCTGGGGCCAGTTCAGACAGCCTGAAGCCCTGATTTCTTTCCCCAGTTCCAGCTGACTATTAACTTAGGCCTTAATATCTATCACAAGAATTGATATAAAGATGGCATTAGTCATTTCCCACATTACCGACAAGGAGCAAGTTGTGACTGAGTTAACAGAGCCACTCCTTAGTGGAGCATGTACAGATCGCAGAGCACCGGCCAGCATTCACCTGCCTAAGAGTGAAATGAAGACAACGTGGCCCGACGGACCCCAGAGAGCTTTTGTTTCTATTGTATTAGAAAACGGTTTTCCAATGTCTTCACCAAGCCACACAAACACGGATAAAATGAAAATGGGGATGTCCCGTCTTTCTCTGAGGTAGCCAAGGCTGGACTGCTACCTATTACTTACCACTTTGCTTCCCCCACCCCCTTTGTTTCAATGTCACAGACACTCAGGTTAACGTAACGCAATCTCAATAATTGTTCTTTTTAAATCCATAAAATAAATACAGTCCCATTATTTCTATGGAACTATCCTCTCAAATATCAGCAGACACTGAGTGTACTTTCACATTTTTTGCTATAATAAACAAAGTAGTCATTTGCATAATATTGCATTATTAGTGTGCTGTATTCTTATGAAAGCAGATCAGAAAAGCATTGTCCTGGGACAAAGCAGATATGTAGTTAAAAACTTAAATGGATATTGGTAGATAGCTCTGAAAAAACAAAGGTGTAGCAATTCAAACACCCATCAGTAATGTTTCCAAGATCCCTGCCAGAACCAGAGAGTAGCAGTCTTTGTAAGTGTGTCCAAAGTGATGAGTCCCACATGGTATCTACTGCCTTCCTTTCCTTTGCATTTCTATGAGCATCAGTGATGCTGCCTCTCCCCATACACATAGGAGACCTTACTGGCTCTTCTTCATTATGAATTTTACAGCAAGAACACAACAGTGGGAAATAAAATGTAGGCGTCCCGGGTTCCATAGTACCTAGCTGCCATTTTGACGTCCAAGAACAATCCCATGTGTACTCTTTCTATATAAAGAATAAAATCATTGGGGATATATTTCTCTTCATAAGAAAGCTGAAAGTAATTTCAAGTTATCGCTGGAAAAATCATGCACGGGAACTGGCAGAGTGATTAGCTGACTTCAGGCAAAAGTTTTACTGTGTCAAGCCATTGGCATGTCATTTGTTGGAAACCGACTTCAGACAAATGCCCCCTACCCACCAGATGGTTGTTCTCAACAGAGTCCTGCAGACCCTGCCCTTCCCTTTGACCCTCCCTCAGAACCAAAGATTGTGGCCCGCTCTGGTAGAACTTGTGCTTCAAAGAGTTTTACGATGCCCTGAATCCAAAGCACACCACTATGTAATTTTATGAATATCATACCAACCACCAGGCAAACAAACTTTCCATTCTTTTCCCATGCATTCTTTTCAGAGGATTGATTGCAATGAGCAAAAATTTGTAGCAAAGGGTAAGAAAAGTTTCCACATTAAGAAGAAAAAAAATCTCTGACATTGGGTCCGGCATGATTTGCCTGCTCCGCGCCCGTGTGCTGTCAGAGGCCTTACAGACATGACTGCTGGCCCTCACACCTCAGACCCAGGCCTACTCACATTCACTCCCCCGCTGAGGAAACCAGGGCTCAGGAGGGTTAAACAACTATTTCCTTAAAGACCTGACATCTCCCAACCCTGTAGTTTCTCCAAACCCCTACGCTTTTCAGTATCCTTTGACATTTTTAACCATCTTTGAATCTCTTAAGCAACAATCCTTACTTACCATTCTTGACCTTGTAAAAGTACTTGAAATTCAACCATAATTTAATGAGCCCAGATTGCCCTGGCTCAGTCAGCTGTCAATATCGGCCCTATAGCACCACCTAGTGGCACTAAGGAGACACCAACCTGAAATAAGCCAAACACCACCCTCCGGAAGATTCCGACTCATAACGACCCTATAGCCCAGAGACCTGCCCCCGTGGATTTCCGAGACTGTTAACTGTTATAGGAGAAGGGGAGGAGGAAATCTAGTCTTTCTTCTACAGAGGAGCCGAGGGCTTTAAATCACTGAGCTTGCAGTTTGCAGCTTCCAAGTTGGTAGACGGGAGAGGCAGGCCTGAGACTACATATCGTCATGTGTTGACACCTCGCAGGGGCCCACGATGGGGGGCTAATTCCAAGAGGTGCTTGGTTGGTGATGGGGAAACCAGCTGAACACAAGCCCATTCCAGCTCCGAGGGACTTTGTAGGACTGGGCAGGGCAGAACTGCCCTGGATCCAGACTGCCACATCTTTCTCCCACAGCACTCCCGACTGGCCGACTCAAGCCACCAACCTTACAGTTCACAGTGGAGTGCTTAACCACTGTGCCACCAGGCTCCTGGACAGGGGTGAAAAACAGGAGTTTGGAATGCCCCGATGAAGACGGCAGCCTCTAGGAGTACTGTCCATGTGGGATCCTATCTGAGCCAGTCTCCTCATCTCTAACAGCACAGAGCGGTTGTGAGGATGAGACATGCTTATAAAGCCCTGAGCGCACAGTGGCCGTCACAATAGGACGTGCTCCTACGTTTGTCTTCCTTTAGAAGGGCCTCTGAGCGAACAGCTCTGTACAACTGGCGGGCATGGGAGGACCTAGCACCCACTTATCTGGGAGCCTGGAAGTCTTCAGTGACGTGCTCACTCAGCACAAATGAGATCCCCTGCCAGTGGGCTCTGTCTCCCCGTAAGGAGGAAATTCAAAGTACAGGGGCCCCATCAGGAGGGCAAGACGTCCCTTTTAGTGAGGGGACAGTGGTCAGTGATCCTATAGCAAGGGGCATTCATAGAGGAGACTAGGGCCACTTCATGAAAGAGGCTGAGTGAGGAAGGAGCTGACTTTGGGTAACCCCAGTATGGCTTCTTATAAGGACACAGGTGCTCCTGAGGGCTTTATTGACAAGAATTTTAAATAGGGAAGACAATCTGTTTTCATATTTTGCCCAACATGATGGCTTTCGTATGAAAGTAAGAAAATCCTTACTCACTTCAAAATAGACCTGGATTTTCTAGAATCTTTTGCTTAAACAATTACTTATGACACAAAAGCTTTATTTTTCCCTTTGCAGTAACAAGCTTTAAGAGTGATTGGGGCTGAATGCAGATTATCACCAGCTGCCGCGAGGGAGTCTTATAAACCCATAGGGCAATGGTTCTCAACCTGTGGGTCGAGACCTCTTTCATAGGGGTCATCTGAATCATAACAGTAGCAGAATTACAGTGATGGAGTAGCAATGGAAATAGTGCTATGGTTGGGGTTCACCACATGAGGAAGGTTGAGAACCACTGCGCTAGGGGCTCTTCCACCTTGTCCACAGGGTCACGATGAGTCTGCTCTAACTCCATAGTAGTGGGCTTGAGGTTTGTACACTAACTACCGGATACTGTGTCAGATACTGCCTAGTTAGCATATTAGCTAACTAACATGCATTGCACATAACTGTCATTTAAAAATTAGAGCTAATCACAAAACTTTTTAAAGTACAAATTACCTATTTACTTCAAATATAAAAACTTTTATAAAAGCCATAACCCTATCCTTTCCTTGAAGATAAAATTAAAAATCTGTCATTTGAATACTACCTTTTAAGCAAAGACAAAGCAAATACTTTTCAATATCTATAGAATAAAAATGAAAATATTTTACCTCCTACATCTATGAAGTGTTTTGCAGCCAAGCCAGAGCGTGGAGCTAAAAAACAAAGGGGAAAAAAACTTTTAAAGGGAAGACAATACTGGGTATGACTGGCACAATTTCAGCACATCATTCTCAATTCCTATGTCATCTTCAAATTAACTTCATCGGGTGATTCTTGGTATTCAATTTCACATATAGTTATTTACTTTGGAGAAAAATAGACAACAATAAAATGTACACCTTCAACAATTTCTACATGGACAATTGATGACACCGTCTACATTCTTCAAGTTGTGTCACCTCTCTAAATAACGCTTTCCAAACTATCTTACCATCATGAACACAAACTCACTGACCTCTAAGCTTCTTATCTACCCTTTCATGTCGTCCTTTCCTCTGGAAAAGATGGAAAAGGTCCTGCTGGGTAAAGTGGGCCGTCAGCCCCAAGGAGACGCATCATCACGGAGAGGGCTGGACAGTGGCTGCAGCGATGGGCTGAACTGTGAGGATGTACAGTGTTTCCTTCTGTTGTACACAGGGTCACTGGGAATTAGGACACTGACAACATCACTTTGGTTCTAAGGTCGTTTGGGCTCAAGGTTTCAAGATCTCTTCGGGCTAATAATTTAGGGTGGTTATGGTTCCAGTTTGAATTGTGTGAAAATTCAAAACTCTGCTCTGCCCTTGATCTACCCCGTTTCCTCACACTAACACCATCCCCTGCCCCTGCTACACACACACACACACACCTCTGACAACGTAGTCAATGGTCTCAAGTTTGTGTTTACTTTGAGGTGAGTAAAAAATGAAGTATGCTCTTGAAAAGATGGCTTCAATTCTCTCTGGTGACAAATGACTTGCTCCAGGAGGACTTGTGCCCTATCTTGTCCTTGCTCTTCCAGCTCGGAGGTACCTCCCTCTAGCACACAGACCCTCAGACTCAGGAGGGAAGGATGCCTGGACGGAAACGGCTGAATGGAAACACAGGACAGGCGTTGGACCCTCATGATGCAAAATGTCCTGTGCCATCACCCTAAGCCGTCCCCACAGTCCCCATTATTTAACATGAGCTCCCATCGCTGTCTTCACAAAGTGTAGTCTGATCTTTGAGTGGGGAGTCACCCTGGAAAATGTTCCAGTTAAAAAAGCACCTACATTTTCAGCTGTTCTCACTAGGAGGAGTTGTGAAAAAGCAGAAGCTGCCCAACTTAGGCTCAAGTAAGGAGTCAGAAATGACGGGGTGGAAAGAGACAGAGGCAGTTATGTAAATGAGTTTCTGTCAGGCTGAACTTGCCACACCAGAGGGTTCCTCTTTCGTTTAGGAAGTAAGCGAAGTAGAGCCGCTTCACTCATTTTTACACCAAGTGAGACTCGGCAGAATATACTGCAAGGGGAAACTAAATCAATAGATAAACCAGACGCACTGTTATCAAGCCGATCGCAACGCATGCCTTAACAGAGTAGAACTGAGCTCCACAGGATGTCCCAGGCCGGCATCTATGCAGAAGATTGCCAGCTTTTTCTGCGGTGTTGTTGAAAAACCTGGCAAAGAGCTACCTGTTCCTGAAGTCACTTACCTACTCTTCCATAACACCCAGAAGGCACAGCGATCTGAATGTCTGTCTTCACCAGGGCTTTCTCCATGGGTGGGACTGTGTAGTCATAGGCACTGAAATGTTGAGAGAAAATACTTTACAAATAAGGTTAATTCATGCAACCTTAGCTTCCACAACCAACACCTTAATGAGGTAGCTGTTTTCGAGTTACCAGTTTGGGTTGGGGACAGGTGTGGCCATGCTCTCCTCTACACTATCTTATTGGGGAAAAGAGGGACATACTAAAAGGGGCAGAAAGGCAGACCCAAAGGTGTCTCACTAACAAAGTATACAAACAGGATGAAGGAAGGACTGAGAAAAAGGGCGAAGAATGGCTAACAATTGTTCATACAGATTTAGTAAATTCTGTACTATGTGTCAGGCACAGTTCTAACTTCCTTATATACTTTAATTCTCATTTCATATATTCCTATTCTTGTTTTTAAAAATGTATTATTGATTGGGAGTTAATTAATATATGTTTTCATTCCATAGTTCAATCACAAGCGGTATTGTACAATTGCTACCACAGTTTCCAAGCATTCTTTTCCTGGTCTCCTTGAAATTGTCTCCTATTCATATATTTAAATCTTATTCAATTCTCACAGCAGTCCTCTAAGAGATCATGGGAAAATCTGGGTGGTAAAAATAAGGGTGAGAGGGAGGTAGGGCTGTGTTGCATGCATTGTGCTTGGCTTGGCAGTTTATCAGCCTGTGTCCATGGGCTTCGATGGTGGAGGGACAGAGGTGCTCAGTCAATGGGCCCCAGACGATGTTGCTGAGAAACTAAACCTCTGAGGTGCACCTAGCACTTCCTGCTTCAGTTGTGATGACTGTAAGTTCCCTCCTTTGATAGCAAGATAAGAACCTTTCACTACAAGCAGAACTGGAAGTCAATTTGAAGCCCTGGCAAAGTGGTGCTAGGTTTTCACTCCTTTCCTCTGTACATAGCTAGTAGTCTCTCCTTTACTACAGGGATCAGTTATGCCCACAGGGATTTCAGTACACAGGTAGTCACCTATGTGTTATTAGGATACTTAAGTACCTTAAATCAAGTCTCCCTGTTATTGAGTTGATTCCTACTCATAAAGGCAAACAGGGTAGAAAAGCCCCTATGGTGTAACTTTTCGGGAGTAGAAAGCCTTGTTTCTCTCCAGAGGAGCTGTATGTGGTTTCAAACTGCTGACCTTGTGGTCAGGAGAACATGTAACCATGAGGTCACCAGATCTAGTTAAACTACACTGCTGCTCTAACCCACTGCCAGGGCATTCGTTCTGACTTTGATCACAACACTATAGGGAAGACTAGAACTGTCTAGGTGGGTTTGGGGGCTGTTCATCTTTATTACATCAGTAGACCGGCACAGCTTTCTCCCATGAGGCTGGTAGATTTGAACTGTAAACTTTTCTGTTAGCAGCTGAGTGACTTCAACCCCTGAACCACGGGGGCTCTACTTTCCCATGAGAAGTAAAGGGCTGAACTTTCATCTTTTTCAACCACTAGTCTGCAGAGGGGCGGGGTAGAAGTGCAAGGCCCTCACTGCGATGGACGGACTCCGTGGCTGCCACATGGGGACAGGACCAGGCAGTGTTTCGCTCCATTGTGCAGAGGGTCACTATGGGTCGGAACCAGCTGGACGGCACCTAACACCACCACCACCACCTTTTAAATTGGTGTTTCAGGCAGCACACTGTCAACATCGAAACAAGCACCGCCTGGAGCTACAGAACCCACAAAGCTGAGTTCCCTTGCTGGGGTGGCGCAGTCCGATAAGCGTTGGGCTGCTCACCATAAGGTCAGTGGTTCAAATCCACCAGTTGCTCCGAGAGAGAAAAACGAGGCTGTCTGCGCGCACAAAGACGTACAGCCTCGGACACCCACCCACAGGGTCCCAATCGACTCGTCGGCAGGGGGTTTGGGCCGATGGCAAGGGTGGAGGTCGGAGGCTGGGGGCGCGCGGAGCGCCACTCACCTGTACAAGTCGTAGCCCGCCGCCCGCGCGGACCCCCGGGTCGGGGCTGTGGCGTGCCCCGAGAGCTTGGCAAAGCGGAGCCGCACGGCGCCCTCCTCCGCAGGCCGGGCCCGCTTGGTGGGAGAGGCGACCGGAGCGGCTTCGGAGCACGGCATGGCAGCGCGGCGCCGGGCGGAGAGCAGCGGCGCACCGGGAGCGGAGGGGGCGAGAGCGCGCGGGACGCAGTCAGCGGCGGGCGGGGAATCAAGCTTTCCCGCCAGCTCCTCCCGGCGCCGCCCACCCCCTCGGACGAGCCCACCGGTCATGGCTGGAGGGGGACGGCAGACCCACCACGCAGACGGGGAGCCCTATTCGGGGAGCAGCTTTGAGGCCGGCAACGACGAGCCCTTTCCCGCTTTACATACAAAGGGATGGGCTCACTCGAGCCCGGAGCTGCGGGAGCTGCCCGCGCAGAGGAAACAAAGCCCCCCTGCGCCCCCCACGCCGGGGCTCGAATGGACTCGCTCTCTCTCTCGCGCGCGCGCGCGCGCGCGCGGGGTCGCGCATGCGCACTCGCCCCCACGCTCCCCCGGCGCCGACAAGCGGCGGAAGGGCTTCCTCCTTGCGGGCAGGTTCGAGCCCTAGGCCCGCCCCACCTCCTCGCCTCGGGCGGCAGGCCGAGAACGGGGGCCGCGGGGCCGCGCACAGGTCCCCCCCAGCCCGAGAAAGCGTGTCCTTGCCGCCTGGGTCCCCGGACTTTACTGGCTCTGGTGAAGCCTCGGCTTAGGCCGCGAGCGCTGGCCAGCGGCCGGAGCGTCCTCGGCAGCATGGCGTCCTCAGGGGCGGGGCCTAGCCCGGAAAGTGCCACGGCTTCAAAGGCCCGGCCGCTCGCCCGTCTGCAAGCGACGACGGTCAAGGGCGGAGGGACGGTCCCCTCTCGTAGGGCAAGCGCCCACGAGGGTCGTTTCCGCCGAGACCCGCCTCCGGCTGGGGCTGCAGGCGCGGCCCGCTCCCGCGACATCAGGAGCAGGAGCCGCCGCCATCAGCGTAGCGGGGCCACCGGGGAGGCGGGGTGCTGGCCTGGGCCCCCAGGGTCGCTGCGCCCTGCGGCCTCCGCTGCCCTCCCAGCCCCCTTGGCTGTGTGGGTGCGCGCGCTTCCCCCCGCGGCCCCAGTTTCCCCGACAGTGTCCTTGGCCCCGGGGCGCGGGCGAGGACTTACCCGGGGCGGTGCCGCCCGCGGGCATCACATCCCTCATCCCTCTAGGGTGCCGCGCCCTGGGCTGTGAGCGCGGCTGGGTGTCGTCTCCTGGCCGCGCCAGCGCAGGACTGAATAGTGGGCGCTCGAGGTGGCTTGGGGACATCCTACGGACGGCTCCCTTAAAAGCCAGTTCCCGCGTGTGTCGATGACCCCACAAAAGCACCGAGAGGGCCCTGGCTGGCGGTGGTCCTCAGCCACGGCGCTAACTTAGACAGGGGAGGATGAGACCCTATAGAGATACAACCACCTCCAGGACTGGCGCAACAATCGGAAAATGAAAGGATGCACGTTTCTGGCCACAGACACAAACTTGGCAGGACAGACGGTCGCTGTGGTGGCCAGTCATCAACTAGGACAGGTGGCCAGCTGCGAGGACCCTTCAGACCACCTGGCTGGGTCTTTCCTTTCTGGGCCTGCGGATTCTGTCTCCTTTATCCGCTCCTCCTCCTCTTCCATTCCTTTTAAATATTGGGATTTCGCTAGCCTAGGTTCTGGGCTAGATGTATTTGTGTTCGCTCCGTGGCTTCCCGTGCTATCTGTACCCTGAGGGCACCTCAAATTTTGAGGCACAGTCATATACTCTGGGCCCTGCTACTCCCCCAACTAAAGCTTGAACCACCAGCCTGCTCACTTCCAGCTCCTGTGAAATCCACTGTGGTTTTCACGGTTTCTAGATTTTTACACTTTCTGGACCCACCGGGGTCTTGTGCCTCAGATCCTTTACAAATCCTTGATAATAGCTTTATACTCCCAGAGATCAACTCATCCCAGAGAGGCCCTGACGAAACCAAAGGAGCTTAGCTGACCTCACTACTGCCCTTTGCCTCGTTTTTCTATCACTTTGTGTTTCTCTAGTCACACCACTTACCGCTACAGTGTTGGAGTCTATTCAGGTGTTCACTAGTTGCTGTTTCCCTGGAAACAAGAATCATTTGTCCTCTGTCATGGTGCCTAGCTTTGTGCCTGGGTCAGCATGATGTTTGATCGACATTTTTGTTATGTGAAGAAATGCTAGTTTCTTAGAGATTTCCTATCTGGTCACTTAATTTTCAACCAAAGCTTTTTTTTTTTGATAGAAGGCCAAGACTTTTTTTTATATAAAAGCCTTTTCAAGACTAAAATGATAAACAGCAGTCTCTACCGTATACACACAAGTCTAACTCAGAATCAACACTGCCAACATTTTGTTTTTGTTTAATTTTCAGCTCTTTCTACTGGAACGTTCTTTCTAAATGGTATAGTGTTTTGTTTGTTTTGTCAGTCAGGCTAGACGCTAGCTTCTGAATTACCATACTTGAAATTTTACTTCTCTTATATCCTCCTCAGCTCACACTGTTGAAAGCTTTGTGACAATGTTTGAATATATCACTAGTTAATATTTACACTGGTGTGACTATATAAATAACCATCCACTGCTGAGATAAGTAATATGCCATGATTATTTCCTTAAAGAAAAAAAACAACCAACCACTTGTCTCTCTCAATGTAATAATTGCCTTGTTTTTCCATTTGTTTTTGAGAGTAGCAGTTTTTTGATGTCCCTCTTCCTTGT